TTCACCTGGACAAGCTGTACACATGCAGGCCACTGCCAAGTTAGCAAGAGAACCATTTCACAGGAAATTCGAGTCTTCTGGAAACTTCCATATACAGGAATGCAAATACCATGCAATTCCTCTTTGAACCCACACCTCTTTTTTTTCCCTTGACCTGTCCCTCCAGCGAGGGGCTGCTGGCTGAGGCAGCACAGTCTCCCCTGAGCCATGCCCACAGACACCCTGCCTGGCACTGGGCTCAGGAAGGCAACAGCCCCACAATACCCCCAGACTGGCCCTGACACCCTCATGCAGAATGTGCTGCAAGTCCTCACTTAAATGACATTAATATTGCACTGCTGGCATGGCTGATCAGGCAAAGGTAGCTAAAACCTAAAAAAGAAAAGAAACCCATACAGTCATCCATCGGGCACAGGTCCAAGCCAACCCTGATGATGCAGCACAGAACATATCCTCCCTGTCCTTTCTCAGCTGCTGGGGAGTACCCCTATAACACAACATTAAATCCACCCCTTTTCCCACACTGTCACACAGATTTCCAATGTCCCTCTGCATGCTTCTTCCCAAAACCTTGCTTGCACCAGAGTGAAATAAAAGATATTTAAGTCAAGAAGGTGATTGCATTGCACAGGGTCCTTTTGTGCCATGCTGCAGGTGTACAAAACAAACCAGGAGGTAATCAAGCAATCTGTCCAGATCCAGCCTTTAACTAAGGGGTCATGGAATGGGATGGAAAACAAGGTCTAATATGTATGTATGATGAAAGGTTGACAGTCATTCCATTGTGTGCTTCAGTGTGAAAACCACAGTGACAATGATACTGGAATGTGGTTTTCGTCACCACAAATACTTCACGCCAGGTGGAGAGACCTTTTACACACATGAGAAATCCTGTGCTTTGGGGGCTACACAACTTAAAGAAGACGGGCCCTGAAACTACTTGCAAAAATCCTGTTCTCCCAGAGGAGCTGTGGCAGAAGGAGATGAAGTTATTTGCATGTGGGACATAGCTAAAGCCAAACAGCAGAGGAGCACCTCTCCCAGCTGGGAGAGCTCACACCTATGCAGAGCTGCACCTGCTCAGGGATCTGCTACTCAGGGATCCTGCTACCGCATATTTGGGCTCCTGGGGAGTTTTTTGAAACAAGGCTCACATTTGACAGGCATCCTCCTTTGCAACTGCAGAGCATCTCAGTGGACACTGTAGCAGTCAGTTTTATGGAAGATCTGGAATTGCGCAGTAGTAATTGGGGCACGAGGGAAGAACACAATGGCCCAAACAACACAATAGTTTTAGGAGTCACCACTAAATGTATCTCTCTTGCTTTCCAGGTACCTAACTTAAGAATTGTAGTACAAACAGACCTCGCCCAACCCCCTCACCCACCCTCCTTGGTGCGAGCAGCTCCCTGTGAGCTCGTGCCTGACTTCTCTGCAGTACAGGAATACCCTCTCTGCTCTGAAGATGCTTCCCACAAGCTCCAAGTTGACAGAGATGACAAGGAACATAGGATGCAGCTGTACACCCAAGGGATCCAGAGACACAACAGCTTTGCACACTTGTGGACTTGTTTGGGTGGAGAGTTTTCTCATGACTGAGGAAATTGATGCATCCATCAAAAACTAAGCTGATGCTGACTAAGAGGGTTTTTCTCTTCCTGTTACATCCTCTGCAGCTCAAGAGGGAATTTCCTGCCCAGTCAAGATTTAGAGAACACATCCCACACTCTCAGCACATGGGTGAATGGGAAGGAGACTGAGCATCAGGACTGACAGCTGCAGGGAAAGGGCAGATGTAGTGTGAGCCAAAAGCCACAGTGGCCCCAGTCCTCAGGCCAGGCTATCCCAAGTCCATTTCCCTGCCTGGCTGGTTCCTTCCCATCTTTGTGCTCTGTCCCAGGTCAGCCCCAGCACCCCATGCTCCCCTTACCAACAAGCTGGACTTCAGGAAAAAGGAGTCATCCTTCCTCAAGATTCCCAATTAAATGGTGACTTCTGACAATACTCTCACTGCCAGATGAGAGATGAAGCTGCAAGACAGAGGCATCTTTACTTTCTTGTTGTATTCCAGCAGCAATTGGGTTCAATATACACAGGGAACATGATCTTTCCCATGTCAAGGGTGTTCACAAGGTTTAGACAAAAGCACATTAATAATCAGTTTCCCTTTTCTGCACTTTTTTCAAGCTTGGACACCAAAACCAAGCATCACTTTTGTTTCGTACCCATGAGCTGTTTTTGATGAGGGAATTGGTGGTGTCTGCCCTTTGGAAGGTTTCACTGCTGTTCATAATACGAACACAAAATGGCAAAGTCTCCCTTCGGGTAGATGCATTTACACTGGTATAAAAGTCTTAAGCATGCTAATGCTTTTTTCTGATTCAGTGCTAAGCTATTCAACTGTAAAACATCTTGATGCTAATATAAAAAACAAACCCGAGTTGAAAAAAGACATAAAACAGAGTTATGCTACTAAAACTTTCCAAGTGTAGACAAATATAATCACATGCAACAACTAACAACAGCTTTGTGGAGCCCTCTAGACTCTGAACATTGTCATATATTGTGTCAACACAGGGCATTTCCAATTTAATTATCAGTTTCATACACACAAACACACCCTCTTGTGAGAGTACCTAGAGCATTGAAATCTTGTGCTCATTGCCAGCCATTTTCATTACATGTTTGCCCTAGCCCATGGCTAGAGTACTTGTCTTGTGCACATTCCAGGGGATATTTTATTCTTGTTAAAAATCTTACTGTCAGCGGGTTGTTTTATTTATTATATTTGGTAACACAGTCATTTCTGTTGGCCTCAAGCATTTGTTGAACACAAGGGGGTAAACCAAGCTTAGAGCCAGCTTGAGACTCCTTAGGAGCTTTGATTCATCATACACTTTGCGTAAAACAAATTAGATACTTTCAGAACACTTTGGGCTGAAGCTATTTACAAACATCAGCATTGTAGCCTTTTTCCTTCTCCAGACTAGTTATTTAAAAAAAGAGTCTCCATTTGGTATAGGAGTGTGTGAAATAACGGAGCTCAAAGGCAGGAAGAAAGGAGAGTGCAGTGGTGTACGGGTAACAGGGCTGAAGGTGAGAGGCTAATTCTTTGTCCCCAGAATTCTTTTGGCTGTGCTATTGCATTCATGCTAAGGCATCTGTAACTACTCTTCTGCAGCTCTAATACTTTAAGTCTGCCCACTGCAGCTGGAGCACAGCAGCATGTCACACACCAAGCACACAGCGCTGAGTGCAGGAAACAGGGACCTCCTTCCCCAAGGGAACATACAGCTTTCCTTCTCACCAGCCCAACGAGCATGGAAAACCTGGCTCTGTCCACACAACAAACCACATTCTTTGGTTTCCCAGAAAAAGAGGAATAGGTGCTGGGTGCACCATGAGTGCCTGGAGTGTTTCAAGGAAATCATATGCAGCCCACAAAAATTCTATCTTACTGCAGCGGGAAGCAAGAGGAGAGCAGTAAAACCCTCTCAGCCTGAGGAGAAGAGACGCCTTTTGGTGGATGACACAAATTTGGGAGCAATTAATAATTAAATACAAGAGCACTGTGGTGGGAAAAGGGGTCAATTAGACACCCTACCTTTTAATTGTGGCTGGTGCCAAACAGCAAACTCCAGTGACTGCTACTGCAAAAAGTGAATTCACCTTAGTTGATACTTGGCCTGAAATATGTGTTACAGAGGCACAGGAGGGCTGGCACCTGCAGAGCAGAAGGGCAACTGGACTGATCTCCCCTGACAGCTCCCCTCTCACTCACTTTCTCATGGCATTTGTAGCACCACTCTGTGATCTGCTTGGGGCCACTGATCCTATGGACAGCTGAAGTCCATGGAATTAGGCCGGTTTAACCGGTGGAGCAGCACATTTTCTCCTGAGAGTGCTCATGTCAGCAGAAGTCTGGATGGGGGAGCAATGCAGGGACTGGTGCTCTCTTAGCAAGCAGAGACCCTGTACAGGTTATGGGGCTGCTTGTTGTAGGGAACTTGTACTCCTTAAACCTAGCCTAGGCATGATTTCCCACGTGTTTCCCAAGACAACACTTCAGTGGGCTCAAGCATGCCCAGGGCATCCCAGAACACTTCATGCCTGGCTTGCATGCTCGGAGCTCACTCCAGTGGGGTGACACTGCAAATCTGACCATGGGAGCTTGCACTCAGGACAATCCTGACACTTCTTTCTCTCCCCTCTTTACCCATAGCCTGCAGCGCCAGTGACAGCCAAGGCAGTTTTGCATTATGAACACAATAACATGCAATTTAAATAGAGAACAAGAAAAAACCTGAAAAGGAAAAAGAAAAAACAAACCAAAACCCAACAAACCCACTCTACTCTTTTACTCTCTCTCTCCTCCCCACCCTAAACATTCCAGCCTTTTCTGCCACTAGAGAGGGGAGTTGTTTATTGATATTATGCAAGCACTGAAATATTTTTCTTTTTCTTCTATCATTTTTTCCCCTCTCTCCCCCTCTCTTCTCCGAGGGTTGCAAAGGTAGTTCAAACCCCTGCAGTCATCTCGGCTTATCAGCCACAGGAGATACATTCCTCTGGGCTGCTCCCTTTATAAGTCACTGCTGGCCGGGCGCCCGCCCGCCGCCCCGCAGCCTCCGCGCCGGCCGCTCCGCGCTGTCCCCGCCATGCCCTAGCCGGGCCCCTCACCGCCCGCCGGCCACCCGCAGCCGCTCGGGGAGGGTCGGCAGCGATGGCACCCCCGTCCCCGCGCCCCGCCCGCCCCTGAGGGCGGCTGCTGCCGCCGGGATGTTCAGCTGGCATCGGAGCTTCACTCTGGGAGCGCCCTGCAGGAGAGGTGAGTCGGCCGCCCCCCCGAGCCAGCCGGAGGCTGCCAACACCTCCCCAAACCCGCACCCCCTTCCTTCCCCTCGGTGGCCGCGCAGACGATACTTAGGACAAGCCCATCCCGGCCCGCCCTGCTGCCGGGCCCCGCCGGCCGGGCACTGCGCCGCTGCCGCCCCGGCCCCATGCTGCGCTCGCTGCTCTCCGGCTGCCTCTGTCCCCTCGCAGGTAAGGCTGCCACCGCCCCGGGCCGGCGAGGACAAAGATCGCGCTTTGGGAACCGCTCTCATTTCCTCTTTATGGATTTATTTCGCCTTAGCAAGCGTGGCAATGCTTGGGAGAGAGGAGCAGGGGAGGCGGGAGCGCTGTGGCTCCGAGCGGTCCGTGCATCGCTCCCGGCACCCCGCGGGTCCGGCAGCGCCGTGAGGCGGGCAGTGGACATCGCCTCGCTTTCTAGGCTGGTGTATCCCCATCCAACAGGGACTGCCGCGGGTTCCAAGTGCTTTACTTGCTCACTCCTGTGCGGATGAATTGACCCTGGCAGGAAAGTCCTGCAACTGATCACCTGTAACTTTTTAAGCCTGTTGTGCAAACAAATTATGTGGTCTCAGTATACCTTTTTCAGGCATAATGGGGCCACTATATTTTATGCTTTAGCCATAAGAGTTGCAAGCTTTGAGATCACAAGCCCCACGTGGCAGAATTCTCTTAGCATCCCTGTTTACCCCTCAGCTTGGCTTGTGGCAGCTGTAAACGGGATCGGCAGGTTTTGTCTCATTGGCATCACTGCACTGGGCTGGTTCGCTTGGCATGGAGGTGGCTACGGACAAGAGTTTGTCAGAATGTAAATGTAGTGTGCAGTGCAACAGCAGGACGGTAAAAATGTTGCAAACTCGTGTTTGAGGTGGTTATACCTCCTGGGGTCCTGGCTTTCCATCCTTATGCCAAACTCCTGCCTCCTTGGAGTGTTGCAGTAATTATTCCAATGAAGATATCAGAGCTACCACATTCTTGGGCATCCACTCAGGTACTCTCTACTTGGATTGTGCTTCCCAGCTGTCCTGGTCTGGGGCAGCTACTTAGAGCTCAGTGTGAGCTGGAGCCTCTGTGAGGTGCCCCAGCCCGGAGCTGTTAAGCGCTGTTGCCAGCAAGGCTGCTGAAGCACATTGCTCTGCCTGGGCTCAGTCTGGAAACTGTTACCCAATGACACAAAGGGCTCTAGAGCAATGCTGCTGTGAGAACATGCCAGCATCCCTGTAAGATGTGGAGGGTGTTTGAAGAGTGTTTTACCATATGTGGAAACCGCTCTCTTTTGCCCTGGATGTAATTCAACCATGAACTTGTTTCCTCCAATATATATGGAGCAAACCTGATGGCAGGGTTAAGAGGTGAAAGGAAGCTTGCTCTTCCATATGGAAGTGTCCCTCACCACCCAGACACAGCAGTATTGTTAATGGGGTAGGTGAAAGCTTTGGTGAGCGAACAGAGTTATCCTACAGAGAGAGCACTGAGGGATCAAAAAGAGGTTCAGCTAGAATTTATCCAAATGAGAAACAACAACAGCACTCTCTAATCACCTCAGCTAGAAAAAGGCACCAAATATTATGTGTGTCCAGATTTGGATGCCATCTCTATTTAAAAATAGCATTCTTGGCTCTGGCTCTCACTGCAACTATAAAAGATTTCAGACATGCCGAAGTATGGTTACACCTGTCCAGTGCTACCTTGTTTAAGCAGAAACAGGTCTCCAGGGTTTTACCAAGGGTCAGCAGTGACTGCTCATGAGGAACGGGTTTCTTCATTTCAACCTTTCTAATACAATTCTCGAGTTCCTTAGGCTTCAGTTGAAGCACTGGTGTCTAAATGGCCTTGGTCTTTGGGGCTATTGAACAGTTGTTTATCCAAGCTTATTATAGGCAATAAAACCTGAACTACTACATACCTGTCATCCCTGGGGGGCATGTTTCATCTTTGCAAAGGGCCTCCTGGCTCCTAGTTAATTCCTAGCTGAATAATCCTCTGTGATATGAGGCAGCCTGCAGCTCAGATATACAAGGAAAGGATCTAAATTAGACAGTTTTTGCCAATGTGTGATATATTTGTTTCTATTGTTTTCATTTTCTGCTCAAACATATCACCGAGCTGTGTCTAAATAATGTTTTGCTGTTATGCAGGGCTGCTCATGAAAGTGTCGTTTTCTTTATTTAAGGTCTTGAATCTTTCTTTTGGAGGAACACATGGGAATTTCCAAGGAGAAGGATTTGTAGGTCTTTAGTGGCAGTTGTTACCTCCCTGACAAAAATCTCACAAATAAGCCCCATAGGTGATTGTTGGGGCTGAACCTCTTTCCTCCCCCAGCTCCCAGGTCTGGTTGTATTGCAGAGTAGGGAGAGCTTGGGCACTGATCCTTGTGCACCGAAATTACCCTTGGCCAGGGTTTTCCCCACTGGTTCATAGATACAAGGAAATAAGTCGCAGAGTAAATGCAGGAACGAGTGGGAACAGCGCTTTAGCTGGTGCTATTGCCCAGGGTCAGGTGTTGGTCCAAAAAGGCGATCCCCAGCTACACAAGTAACTGATAAACCAGGTGGTGTGAGGGGACCTGCTGTGCCCCGAGACTTTCTGCCAGAGGTCACTAATCTATCAGACCTGTCGTTTGGTTTCGAAAACTTCACAGGTCACTTGCAATGAATTAGGAGCAAGCTGTAAAAGTGTCAAGTGGCCTCTCTACTTGGAAATCCATTTCCTCTTTAGTTCACCCAGCTATATCAATCAGTAAACAATCAATCAATCTCCCTCTCATTCCCTCTCAAATGCCCGAAAAGAGCTATAATTATCTCCTCTTTTGTAAAACATAGGTACTAAAGCAATGAATGTCTCCTCAGTCAGAGTCCTTGAACCTTGTTATCTTTCTCTCGGCATCTACTTTATATGGATTTATCATTACCAGCTGCAGCTGTGGGGACCTTTAACATTTCTGGTCACATTACATTACCAAACTACGATCCTAAGGAACTCCACACACTTAACTAACATTGAGACTAGAGACCATCTTGGAGTCAAAGGATCTAAGTACTTTGTGCATTTTGTTCAAGGACTATCTGAAAGTTCAGCTTTGTCATAACTATTCCTTTGCATTCAATATTTTGAGCAAATTAAATTGTATATTTATGTTCATGAAATCCACGTGCATTTCACTTCTCCAGCTGGATAAATTGAAGTTGAGAGAATCGGGTCTATCATGCAAATACTGTTATAACATGGGAGCAGGTTCCCCCGCAAATGTGAATTTTTCAGTCACAACTCCAGTTAAAACCCAAAATAACAAGCAAACCCAGCAAAATAAAACAACAAAATCCCGACCTTTTCTCTGACAGTGATTTTTAAGCCTTCACCAGTTTCTGCTGCTGTAGGTAGAAGTTGTAACTGATGCACTGAAGACAACAGACCCTGCGATAAGCTTTCTGTATAAAATTTTCAGCTCATGATTATCCTAATTATTTAGGAGAAGCCTTGCTTAGATCGGGCAGCCCAAGATCCAGCAGCACACTCAACATGCTGCCTGAAAAGCATTGGGGAAGGCAGATAGTTTGCAGACTTTTGGTGATAAAGAGCACCTCTGCCGTTGCCAGGACTGGAATCAATAGTCCAGGTAGTAAGGAGATCATCATCCCGTGGAAATCCATGGCAAAGCTGTGTGGAGATAGATTTTTCTCACAGAGGATCAGTTGGTAGTGGTTACTCATTTTTTGGGGTGGGGACTATTTTTGTTTGTTGGGTTGGCTTGGGGTTTTTGGAAGCGTAATTCAATTCTTGAGAGCACTGAGGTCCTGTCCGTGCAACGCCTGCCTGAGTCCCCAGGGCTGTGCTAGCGACAGCTCTTTCCAGCCGGGGAGGTGACACGGGGAGGTGACATGGGGAGGTGACACGGCTCCCGCAGGCCCTGCCTGGGGGCTGCTGAGGAGGTGCCAGCACAGCCCCAGCGCTCAGCCCCACCCTCCTGCACACGCGGGGAAAAGTCATCAGCAAAAAATGCCTATTGTTTCAGAAAGGAAGTGACCCCTTCTCTCTTAAATGCTGGGAAATTGAGACATCATCGGTGAGAAGAAATCCCACCTCTTCGAAATGAAAGGGAAATACCACCTGAGCCGGCCGGCCAGCGGTGCTAGAGAACGTGGCACAGTGACAAAACTAAGGGAGTCTTTTTATAAGGGAAGGAAGGAAAACGAGGGAACGCAAGGACTGAATGGGACAGGCAGCCTTTGATTTCTAGATCATGAGTTTGACTCCAGTACTGGTCACTGCTGTCTAATGATTCTTCAAAAGGTGACAATCATCTCTTAGTCTGTTATTTGGAGGCCACAGTCCCATCACAGAGCCAATCCTGCATGGCAGGGTTTACTCTTTGGCACAGCTGGAGCCAGAGAGGAGTTACTAGGCAGGCTATGTCCTCTATAGCATGCTGAAAATCCTTTTCTGGCACTTTGCATGAGCACCTTACTCCTGTACTCAGGGCTAAGCAGACTGGGAGGAGTGCTGTGGTTTGACATTGGTCCTCCTTTGCAGGGCAGCTGTGCAAAGTCCCTGCTACTCCAGCAGCCTAAGTCATTGGTGATGCCCTTTATTTGTGGTGGCACAGTAAAGCTGACAAGTACTGCCCTTATGAACTGCAGTGTGTAGGATGTAGCCTGTTTTGTGGCATGTGTGGCACACAGTAGCAGGAAGAGGAATAGATTTTCTGAGTTACTCTGGGCTGTTCATCCTGCACAAGCCTGTGGATGGGTTTGCTGTGCATGTGGACCTTGCTGCAGTTGTAGAGACAAGCAGAAGGCTGCCATGGCTCTAGCTCTGCTATCTTTTGTAAGACAGTGCAAATGGAGACAAGCAAAGCTTTGGCTCCAGTTGTGCCATGTTTAACAGAGATTCTCCCCATGCCAAGTAGCCTAAGAATCAGGATGAACATTTTGAGAAGACAGGGGGCAGAGACTGGAAAGGAAGAGAGCAGCAAAAGCAGTGCTGGTATGGAATGGTTCTCTGCTGCCAGTAGCAGCACACGTTCCACTGCCAGTCTGGCCTCTTCCCGTCCACCAGTGCTTTCATTAGTTGCATACATCAGAAAACCATGTGCTATGATACTTAAATCAGTGCATCAGAGGCCACTGACCCTCTCAGAGATGTAGCAGAGTTTAACAAATCTTGCACGGAAGGAATTGCCAGTGAAACACAGGTTTGAGCCACAGGCATAGATGCAAAAATGAGTTTCAGTAACTTGGAGGATGGGGATTTGGATATAGACTTTTGCTTAGTTTACTAGAAAGAGGGAGCTTTTGCAGGATTTGGGCTTGAGCAAGATTGGAAGTGTGTAGGAGTTTTTCCTAGGCAGTTGTTTGAATTAATCTTGTGCATCCAACTTACTAGGGATAAAGAAATTGCTTGGAAGTAATTTTATGTTTAGGTATCTGCCCTCCTTCTCCTGATCAGAGATCTCTGTACTAATACACCAAGCTGAGTTCTGGCAGCTGCTAGTTATTGTGCAACTGGAAAAGTAACTGGGACTTAAAAGTCCCAAGAAAGGGAAACCTTGGGACAGGAGCTGATGGGAAGGTATTTACTTTTGAAAGATTTAAGTTTCTCTATTAGGCTATGGTAACTACAACATAGAAATACCCTGGAAAGCAATTCAAATATGATGGAGAGCAAAGTTCTAGAGACTTTGGTGGGACAAATCCATTCCTTTCACTCCCTAACAATTACCCCTAGGTATTAGCTAGTTCACTGTCATCATTTCCTTGTGAGTTGGGAAGCAGTCTGATTCTCCAGCTTTACAGGCACAGGAAACCCAGCTTCCCAAGGCTATACATGATGAATTCCCACCAGTTACAGGCATGTATTTCAATCCAGGGAACCTTGTATATCTCTAGGGTGATTACAGAGCCATATAACTCTTTGAAAGGGCTACCAGGCAAGTAGCACAAGTTACCCTGAGACAATGTTTGGCACACGTGTTGAAGAGGCTTAAGGAACCTGTACTAATTCTGGAGCATACACACAAAACTTGACTCCTTCCCTGGCTGCCACACCAGTGTACTAGTCAGCTTCCTAAAAGCTACAGCATTTGCTATCTTACCCCCAACCCAGAGGGGTGTTGGAAACCGGTCCAGGGGAAAAGAAACAAAAAACAACAACAACAAAAATTTTGGCTGAATTCCCAGGAACAGCAGTGTCAAACCTGGCTGGCCTCCAGTATAAGTAAATGCATCTTACCATTGTTAATGCCACCGTTCAGCTCTCTGAAGTTCTTCACACCTCCTTTCAGAAACCCCCGTGCAGGATTGTTTGCAACCATACCCCTGCAGCACACTCCTCCAGTGCCAGGCAGGAGTTATCTCCCTTCCTTGCTTTGCTCAGGGCCCCTAGTATTGCTGAACAAAGCATTTACAGGCCAAGCTCTCAACCAAAATTAGCTGATACAGTTCTGTTAAGGACCTTGGAAATGAATTAATTTAATTTATAGCAGCTGAGGGTCTGGGTAGCTTTTTTTTTTTCCTTCAATTGCGCAGATGAGGTTTAATTGCATCATTCTGGTGTTTGTTAGCAATATAATTGCTAACAAAAGAGCTGAGTGGTTTTGTATGCCTCTTTCGAGATCTGTAGCAGGAACAATCTGCGTGTTGGAAGCCCCATGGTTTAGATTCTATAATCCAGTTAACAGAGAGGAAGAAGAGGGATTGTTTTGCCAGTGAGGTGCAGCAAGAATAACTTGAGTTTCAGGTCGCTGCCTTAATCATTGGAGATCTTTCTGTTGTAGCACAAATGGCCTCGCTGACCACGGAAAGTGTTATTGAGTGAATGAGGATGAGGTGCCTCAGTGTGTTGCAAAATCCTGTTGTCCTTTGCCACTATTCTGATCTTGTGGTAGGGGGATGATAACATTTTGCCTCATCACAGAGTGTTGAAAGAATAAATCAGAAATGCTCAAACGCTGTGGTTTGCAGGACCTGACAGTGCTGAGAGCAATGGCTTGCCGCCTAGAACAGATAAACAATTTTTGTGAAACATGTTGCTAGTGACCACAGTACAGGGAGAGAGCAAAGAACTGTTGTTGGCCATCCTGCAGAGGGTCAAAGATTTAAAGATTTCATCTTATTTTCTATTTTTTCTACTCCAGCCAAACTTCTTTTTCACATTGCAGCTCTTGTAGTCCTAAAAGATATGCAGTAAAGCATTTGACATCTTCTGTAAGCAGTAAGACCTCATTTTAATATGCTGCTTCCTGATTTTAGACAAAGCAATATTTGTGTAGGCCAGGGTGAAACCAGTTAAGCAAGAAAAAACAGGGGCAGATTGAAAGAAGAGAGAGAATTTCCAGTCAAAGGAAAGCATGGCATGATTAATAAGTGAGAGCAATCAGTCTGTGGGAAAGAGCTACCATTGCATATAGTAATTCCTGGTAAGAGTGACAGCTGTATGGTTTGTTCTTAAAAGTTGCAGGAATGCAACTGCTCTCCTCCTGACTCTCGGTGGTTTTGTTAGCCAGCTGGGGTAGTGATGCCATCAGAAGAGCCTGTAAGCCTTGTATTTTTCATGCAGATAAAACATTTTCTCTCTGGCTGCCAGGAGGTGTTTGCAGCTGAGCAGGTAGATCCTCTTGACTCAAAATGACTCAGTTCCACCTCCTCCTTCCAAGACCTGGCACCCAGCTCCCTTATAGCTGATGTTTTGCTGTATGGGAGGCTACAAACCAGTCACCCTATTCCTTGTCCTCAGTTCAGGGTCCCTCATGCATATCCCAAAAGTGGAAGAATAACAGCAGAGCCCAGCCCAGGCAGCTCCTGATGAGCTTTCCTGGATAATGTCTTTTTCTTGTCCCCCACCACAGCAACATCCTGGTGTTGCATTGCTGAGGTCTGGCACTGACTGTCCCAAACATGGTCTTTGCACTGGGAAGATGTCTGTGAATCCTGCTAAGGGAGGCAGTGCAATTCTGTATATGATAAACAAATCTTATATAAGGGGTATTAGCACTATGTACCACAAAAAGCCCATCAGATTATTTATCACTGACTGTCCTTTATGAAAATCCAGTGTAAAATATTAAATCAGTGAGTGTCTGAATAGTAAAGGGCATGTTTCAGTGATATCCCAGGAAATTCTCAATATCAAATGGATAGAATTCAAATAATGTAGAAAATGATCCATGTAAGAATTAGCTTGTCCTTAATGAGTAAAGTCTCCCGTGTCTAAGTACATTGCAGAAAGCAAGCTGGAGGAGGTAAAGCTGGAAGATGGGTTATTTCTGAAACAAGCAGCTTTCTGGGTTTCCACAAAGGAGAGCTGCACAGCAGAGCTCTCTCTGATCCACTGCTGGTGGGGTGGATCCCAGGCTTTCCTGCCTACCTAGGGACATGAGTTTGTGAAGCTACTGCTGGTCTGATTCAGGCAAAAAGACAGAGTAGAGGGGAATGAAGTAGAAAGTAAGACATCCAGAAAAGCGTGTGCATTGTAGCCCTCTGAGGTGCTCTGGGTTGATCACTAAGGGAAAAGATACCAGAGAAAAAAGTTTTGTTCTGCATCAGTTCTTGGTTCCAAATCCACAAAGACACATATTTGGAGCTGAGATTTGCAGTTTGCTGAAAGGTAGATGCAGATCTTTAACACTGGCTCTCAAACTATCGTGATCCAGAAGTTTGCACTAAGAAAAGTTATATCCAGAAAAACAGTAAGAAAAACCTGGGAGCTGATCTTTGACTCCTGAAAATCAGCCTTTCATCCAGAGATTGTTCTATCACATTACTGTGTAAAATAATTGTGACTTGAAAACAAGTCTTCTTTGTCCATGTGCAAAAGCTCTTGAACAAAGCTGCCCCCATGTTTTTTGTCTTTACGAATGAGGTAGGAGTTCACTTAAAAACATTCCTTCATAGCTAAAACCATACAGGGAGTGAAAAATATCTACAGTGCCTTTTACATTTGCTTTTCTTATCAGAACTTGATTTTTGCCACCTGTATGTGAGCAAAGAACACTGCAGAGAATACCAAACAGTTTGCAAACTGCTTGTTGCAGCCCAAAATTCATTTAAGCCTGTGGGAAGACTGATTTCATTTTACTCTTTTTTTCTGCTGGTTCAGAATTCATTTAATCAGAAAAAATATCTGAGCCTTAAATTAATGTCTATCAGGCTGAAAAAACATCTCTCCATCTATATGCAGATAATTACTAAAAAGTCACCTGCCTACATATGTTGTTTTCTACCTATCTATCAAATCAGAATTGTGCTTTTATGAGCCCCTCTGGAGGACTCTGAGGTGATGAAACACAAGGCTTTTGTTGCAGCAAAGCTTCATAAAGCTCAAGAGAAACAAATTAGGGCTGTCCCCCTCTACTGCCTTGGTATAAGCAGTTTTACATTCCACATCCCTCAGGGGATGCATTAGACACTGAGTTTTGTGGCCTCCTGTGACCTTCTACTTGCTTTCTTTTCAGCAGGTAAGAAGAGCCCACCTGCTGAGGACAAAGTTGTGTTAACACACATGAAGATACTGAGCAATGAAGGAATTCAAAACCCAGGGTTAATCCCAGAGGCTCCAGCTGACACAGCCTGCACAGAAGAGTCCCATCTTCCCGGTGCCAGTCTCCCACCAGACTGCCTGGGAAGCCCAGACGCAGCAGATGCAGGAGATGCAGCAGATGCAGCAGATGCAGACTGTGTGGATGGCTCGGCAAGCAGTGACTGTGTAGCCACCCTGCCTGACCTCAGCGCCTTCGAGTCCAAGTGCCGGCTTCACAGATTCTCCAAATTTGAATCTGAGGACTCGGGGGTCGAGTTGCCAAGTGGTGCCAATTCTCCATCAACGCCGACAGGCTCAGAGAAGAGCTTTGTGCTCCACAGCAGAGACTCATTCTGTGACTCAGGTGTGCTCAGCACCTCCTCTTCTCCAGAAATTGACCATCAGTTAATGAGAACATGTAAAGAGCATGCCAGAAAAGTTAGCGTCCAAGATCCAGAGAGCAAAAAGCAAGCTGATTACTACAGTCAGGAGGCAGATGCTGTGCAGGATCCTACAGCTTCCCTTGAAGACTTCAATGTCCCTCAGGAAGAAAGTCCTGATGAACATTTTGACCAGGGCGACAAGCAGCCTCCAGAAAAGGAACCTATCCCAGAGATGGACCTTTACAGGGAAAGTACTCTTTCTACCCCAGGTCCCACAGAAGAGCCAAAGACAATTGCTGACAACTTCCCAGAGAATTTTGGCAGCATGCAAGACCTTCAGATCCATGAACATCAGCTGAAGAAATACCCCACAAGTGACAGTCTGGATGAATACATGGATGAATGCTGTAGGCTAAGTGAGGTGAGAAACACCTAAACTGAATCTTAAATCTAGGCCTGTCCAAACACCCCAGTGAGTGTTAAAGTCCTGTTTGTCACAAACTGGACACATCTGAGTGAGTTTAGAATATCTCCCCTGAAACTGGTAAGCAGTAAAAAATGGTAATTGATTTTTAAGATTTCTTCTCCTGCCAGTAAAATTCTGAATTAATTCATAAATATCAAGTCTGGGGAAGAATGACAAATGACTCATTGAGATCTGGTGTTTCTAAAAGCCCTAGATGAGAGGATAGACTTGATTCTGGTCTCAAAATGAAGATTATGAAGTTAGTCATCATCCTCTGATACATGCGGTGGGGGGGTCAGAACATAGGTTTATTTTTAAGACCAGATTATTCCTGTCTCTGGGGACAGCTGGCTTACTTTTGGGGCACTGAAATTTGTAAAGAACTTGTCTAAGGGTTAATTCATCTCTGTCCAGGCCTATTGTGTCTTGTTGAGTCAACTGTCACAAACAATGCATGAGCAGGCAGCTAATTCACAAATTAAGATTTTTGTTGGGTTGGAGTTGGGGATGCCATTTTAAATTGCCAGCGTAGCTGTGATGGACCAAACTGCAAAGACCTAATTTCAGCAGGTTGTCCCACTCCATACTCCCTCTCTTTCCCCTTGCTAGGTGCCCTGTGCCACTGACAAGAATACAAAGCCCTTTTGTACACCTTCTCCCATAGCAGGTGCTGCTAAGCACTCCCCCAGTTCTTTGCCTTGTGCTGCTGAAGTGCAGAGAGATCTCTGCCTTGCCTGCATGCTGCCGTGCATTCCAGGAACCAGCAAAGCAAACATCTCACTGGAGAGCTGATATTTGACAGAGAGACAGACCAAAGAGCCCCATGAGCAAAGGGAAACGAGAAAGGCAGACTAGGTGAAGAGGGTCACAAACACACAAAAGCAGCAAATGGTGCCTAGCAGGGATTCTTTTGGGGGGCATTCACTGTGGCAATACTGATGAATTGAAATTGGAGATGGGTAGGAGGAAGCCAAGTAAAAAATGATGTGTGCTGTGCAAATAATTTATCTATGACCTTGCTGCCCTGAGCAATAGGGCACTGGACTTCCTCTCCAGCATGCCAAGCCCCCTTGAGCAGTGAGGAAGGTCAGAGATGTTCCATCTCTGTTAACATTGCGTATAAAGGCAGCACAAGCAACACACAATCCATCTGAGCAGTATTTTCCTCCCCAGAGCTATCTCACACATGGCAGAAGACAGATGTCTATTTTGCACAAATTCCAAACCGACCTGGCCATTTGGCAGACTTCAAGAAAGGGTGAGAGCAGCAGTATCTGAGCATAAGGAAACTTCATAAAAAGTTACCTAAATTCTCTGTTGCACTCTGAGAGTTTGCAGCCAGATTTGGTCTGACAGCTCTGTATGCCCATGAAATTCCTTTAAATCCTTGGTGAAATGGAGCCTCAGTTTCCCAAAGCAAAGCATTTAAATAAACAAGAGAATAAATTAGAAAGAAGCTGAAGAGGAAATGAAGCTCTTGGTGGCTTATCTCCCCTCCCTTTTAATATCCTCACTGGCTGAGTGCTAAAGGTCTGTGCCCTAGAGCACTTTTCTTTGTTTTTTGAGCTGTGTAAATACAGCTGTGACCTAGATGTTGGGGAAGTTTGCCCCTCTTCACAACACACCTCCAGGCTGCTGTATCTCAAGAGCAGCACTCCTCAAACTGCTGGGATGCCAGGGAGCACCAAAGTTGACTGGGACAAGAAATGCACACGGGCTGCTGCACAGCCCTGCAGCAGCTGCTGCTCTGTGTGCCTCAGAGCAGCAGGACAGCCTCTGGCAGATGCAGAGCCTTCTGCTCTCACCAAACTTACACCAGGCTGACCTGTCCTCAGTGCCATACAACAGAGACCTCTTCAAAGGTGAGGTCCAGATGATCATCTGACCATACAGCTGTCAGATGCATCTTGGTCATCTCATCTGAGGTTCTGCTCCAGGCTTTCTCTGTGTTTTTCACATTTGCCTGTAACTCGTCAAAATGGTACCTAGAAACCAATCTCTGCTGTGGCCTGTTGTCATCTAAGGGACTCAGATACCCCTGGAAATGGATCAGTGTTGCCTGAAAGAAAGCAGGCTAGCACAGTGTATTCCCACCCTGCTTGGCAAGAGCACGGCAAACTAAATTGCTCCATCAAGTCAATTCCTGCTGCATTAAATTAATGTTGATAGAAATGCAAGAGTGCTTATACTGGCTTATAATTAATGCTCAGTGAGAGCATTAATTAGTTATAGGTGACACCCTCTTCCTCAGTTTTGTTGATGGTTTTGGGAACTTTCAAGTACCAGAAGAGCAGTTGAGTTTCCCCAGCCCACTGGCTGTGGCAGTGCCAGCTGTGCTCACTGGCTCACCACACCCAAACAAGGATTCAGTCTCTGGATGAAGTTGTCTCTTGATGCCCTCCTGACCATCCCTCACTGCTGAGGCCACTTCCAGGAGAACAGGAAGGAAAATGCTGAAAAAGAGGGACTGGAAAAGACCAAATGTTTTGACCATTTGGTGAATGGCTTTGGCTGAAAATATACATCAAATAATTTCAGTCCAGCATTTTCAGACAAAGCTTTCTGATCTTTTGTTTTGAACTGCTGTTATTTTAAAATTTGCCTACATTTTGAAAGATGAAAGAAAATGGAAGCTGTCAAACAGCAAGAGAAAGAACTTTGAAGCCTAAATAAAAGCGTTTCCTTTTAAGCTTGAAGATACATAGCTTTTGATGCTTTTGCTTTACAAACACTTCCTCACGCTCCATAAAGTTTACATTTAAAGTCAGCTCAGCCCATACTCCTAGAAGAAGAAAAAGGGTGGGATCACAGTCATCATTAAATAAAAAAAAAAAATCATTATTCATGCAGTGCTGTTTATCCTGGGCCAAAGCAGTCAAAATGTTTCTCTAGAGAGTGGTACAGCTCAGGGGAGGGATAGGGCTACCTGTGATGGTCAGCCCTTGGCTGTGCGTGCTGCTCAGAGGAAACCAGAAGCTATCAGCAAGCACAGCCCCTCCTGGACAGCAGGGTGGAGCCGTCAGAAATACACAGCACGATCCCTCTCTTTCCTGTTATTCACTAGCCTTTTGGTGCTGTCAGCTCCCAGTGACAAATGCTTCCCTCTCAGCCTGTGGCCTCACCAATTGGTTGCCCTGAGGCCGGGATGGGAGGTTTGGAATTGCATTCCGTGTCAGGCAGCCCAGTGACCATGCTGCCTGTACCAGCCACGCTCACATGAGGGATGTATGGCAGGATGGAGCATAGTATAACCCAAAACTATCCACAAGGAAAGTGAAGAGCATTGGGTGAAGCACAGAAACCTAAGGAAATGCAAGACACATCAGTGAGCAATTGTGTGAACAAAGAAAAGCTTCCCCTGCAAACTGCTCATCATCTTCAGCTCCTGCTGCCAGGTCCAGCCCAGGACAGTTCTCCATTGAGCCCAACTGTAGAAAAGCACATTACATGCATCCAAGTAACAGATAATGGCTGAAATGAGGTTGGACAAAATGCTGAGCACCATCAGTTGGACAAGAGACAAGAAAGCAACTCTCATTCTTGCAGCTCCCACTGAACTTCAAATCTTCATAGTGATCAGATGCTGCAGTGAGCACAATGTTCCCCAGAGACAAGAAGACAGGCTCCCACCTCTGTGAGCTGGGTAGCTGCAGAGGAAAAGATGTGATTTGCACCAGACAAAATATTGACTAGGGGGCTCTAGATAAGCTGAAGTTCCCAGTGCAATGCTGATCCTGCATTTTTAAGAATCCTAAGAAATCTGTAGGTCAGCAGAACTGTCATGGCTTATTGCCAGGGACAGATATACTGAAAACTTGTGTCCAAAACTTAGTCAGGTGAGCACTGACAAGGGCAGAGATTTCTCTTTGGTTACACAGATGTACAGTCAATGTAGTGCACCTTAACTTCTCCGGGTCAAAAAAATGTAATGTGAGTAACTCACACAGTATAGCTGGGAGCCTTTAACTCTGTTTCTTCCAGATGAGGGTCTGGCTCAGTCTTGTGCCTAAAAGCAAAATCTGGCACGTATTTATAAATTAGGTTCTTACTTTCCTAGAGAAGCTTTAACCATTTGATTCATAAATTGTGTCTTTATGATCCTCCACATCTTCACCTTACAGAAAAGTAGACAAGATATTTTTCCTTCTTCATAGGCTTCATCATCTCAAAAATGGGCACACAGCTTTTGTTGCAACACCAGTTGACAATTACCATGTGGAGAGTAGGACAAATTTTAGTCATGAAGCTTCAATTGGGAGGACAGAGAACTGAAGAGACATCCTGGAAAATGTTTGCAGTTTTCCTGTGGTTGCTGATTCTTCACTACTTGCATAAAAGTCTCATAGATGCTGAGAGGAAAAAATTTAGACCAGATCATGATAGACAAGAGTCTATGCTGCACTTGGCATCACCAAAAGATAGCGAGGGGTCTTTAGGTATTTCCAGTCCCTGAAAAAACAAAGCCTTTGAAGGGTTCCTAGAGAGACCCTCTCTGTGCAATTGTTTTGGGGACAACCAGCTAAATTACACAAATATTCTGTATATCAGAATACACAGATATTCTGCCATATCTGAGCAATCCTAATGCTAACCAGCCCTGTGGCAGGGTGAAGCACACCCCTAAAAGTTTTTATCATCGCGCTCTGACAGAGAGGAGGCCGGCCCTGCAGAAATGTGTGAGCACTGGAGGCTCAGCCTGATTTGTGCTTTCTGAGATCACTTCTATAAAATGCAGATTAATTCGCTATTAAGTAGCCCAAACTGCCCTAAGCAGGCTCTGGAGGCTGGCTGTGAAACAGGGATCTTCAGCACATCGAGTCCAACCTTCAGTTTGGTTTAGATCCTCTACAGGGGTAGATCCACCTTGCCCCAAGACTTGAAGCAACTACTCTACACCTTTTCCCTCTTACTTTCTGGGCACCTGTATTGACTCACAGGAGTAGGAGATTCTCTCTAACTTCTGCTAAAAGCCAGGTTTCTCCCATGCCCATCCCAAACACACCTTTGTTTTCTGGTGTCTTCAGCCCTAGACACAGAGCACAGAAAACAAGAACCTTCTTCTCTCCTCCTGCCCATATTGCCCTACAAACCCAGTAGCCACAGACATGAAGCAGAACTGTACAACATTAAGCACAGGACAAATATGGAGCAGTGAAAGATGTCACAGCCAAATGCTTCATTCTTTTTTTCCAATCTAAGTTAGAGTCATATGTTTTACTTAACCCTATTCTCCAAGATCTCGTCTGTCCCTTGTAGCCTCTCCTTGTGTTTTCACAGCTATAATGGGTTGGATTTGGCTCAGTGTCTGCTTAGGGCAGTACAGACATGCCAGCAGTCATGCAGTAGCATACTGGTGGGAAGGGGAGTTGCTAGATCTGCAAAAAGGGGGTACAGCGTAGCAGAAAGTTTATATTTTCAGGGGTAATAAGGAACTTCTGACTATTCATTGGAACAGTGTACAAAAAAATGACTGTTTTGGGACATCTCAAAATGGCCACATTTTCAGAACCTGATACCCATGTACTTTCTGAAAATTGTGCTTCTGAAGCTGGGCACCCCCAAATCCCTAGTTGCTTTTATATATGTTGGTTATAGTGCTTTTGATTCAAGCTTTTCCCACCAGATACCATATATGCTTTGTTCTCCCTTTGGGTCCTGGGGCTGTTCCCCTTCCCATTGCACAGCCACAGTAAATACTCAGTCTTATGGCTGAGTAACTTTTGTCGTGCCACCACTTCTTGCAGGCTCTGCCTGAGAGGAAAATAAAAGTCATTAAATGAATGACTGCTTGACTTGGAGTCAACAACCTCTGTCCCAACTTCAGACACAAAAGCATCTGGATTTAATAATACCTGTTTATAAATAACGTTGTATCATCATTTGTTTAAAAAGAAGTAAATCCTAATGTTGATTATTTTTGAACACACCATGAGCTTTCTGACATAATGAAAAGACAGGAAGAGTCCCAGGGCTGGCATTTCCCCAAAAATGTAGATTGTTGTGGGAAAGGAGACAGAGTAAGCTTCCTGCTTTTGTAGAGGGAACTTATTTTTTGAAGTAAGATAAACTTAGAGCACTGCTTTTGTAAAGACCGAGGCTTATTTTACTCACTGATATCACACGCACATCAGCAGGCAGCGCCAAGGTGGAAGTGAGCCCCTGCATGTGTTTGTGAGCAGCACGTTCCACACAGTCTGATCACGGCACAGGGGAGCACACTCACTGTGCACGGGGCACTCCTGGCTCCAGGAATGGTGAGGTGCAGAGCAGGAGCCTGGGAAGCATCACAGCTTTTCTTCTGCCATAGGATTACTGTCTGTCTCCAGCACTGCCCTTGGCTGAGCAGCAGTGAGACTCTGGCAGGTCCTGGGTGAAGAGAATATTAAAGACTGTGGAAAGATGTTCTTTCATTTTGGCAGCTTGATTCAAGTACGTTTGTCTCACAAACACCCCAGTGATGAGGGCCAGAGCACAGCAGACAGAGAGTACCCCAAATTGGTCACAACTCAGCAAATCAATGCACCCTGCAGATATCTTCGAGTAGGAGCCAAGCTCAGCTTCAGTACACCTAACTGTGACTTGCACCGAGCATTGTGGGCTAAGTGAGCCATAGTAGCCCCAGACATCCACAGCAGTAGAACCATATTTATTTGTAAGGCTTCTGTGTCCAGTAAAAGTCAAAAATTAGCCTGGGAGGTGGAACTAGAAATAGGCTGTCATGAGGCTTTCTCCTGCATCAGCCTATGATCAGTCAGAAAAGTCCCCCTGACAGTGGAAATTGCTGAGTAATCCAGAAAAGAGCTTCAGCAAGTGATTCTGTAGCTCAAATCTGTGGTAAACCAAAGCACCTTGCAAGAGGAAGCCTGACTTTATCACAAGATTTGACTGTAAGGAGTGTGCAGGGCTCTCAGCTCCTAGTAGGAATTGCTCTGTTGTTACTCCATGGTCCAAGATGCATTCTCATTGCAGGTGAACCAAAGTAACAGCAAACCCCTGGGATCTGGTCTGGGATACCTAGAACACATCTGCCAACTGATTGAGAAGATTGGGCAGCTTCAGGAGCACAACCTGCGTCTCCAAAAACAAGTGTGCAGCTTGCAGAAAGAGCAGAAGATGAGTCAGATAAAAGAGGTAAGTCTACACCATATATCTTCCATTGAGTAATACAGTAATACATCTAAAATAATAAACTCAAGGCCCAAACAGAAAGTTCTGTCTGCAGGAAATGCCAGTTTACCACATCCACTCACCTGGTCCTTCAGGGAAGCCTCACCCACCACGATGGGTTTAGTTTCCTGAGGCTGACTTGGGTTTCTGTTTTTACTCAGTTTTGTTCCCCAAATGTGCTTGCTTCTGTTGAGTTAAAAAGCACCCTTCTCAGCTCATGCAGTGGCCTGCTCTAAGTCAGTAACTTTTTCTTCTCTACAGTTATAAACTTTCTAAGAACACATCTCCTCTCCTCAATGCTCTCAAAACAAAATCCACAGAGCTCCTTAGCAATTGTGTTTTGAATTATAAGATCTTTTGTTTCCTTCTGATTTCAAACTGTCAAAATCCCAGAATTTTTCACAAAACAGACAGAAGGGGAAAGAGAAACAGCAATACCATGACCCAGCTCCATGATTTTTTCCCTTCCCGATCTGCCAGATGAAGAATCTCTGACATGAAACCATTTCAGTGTTCCCATTTGTCATTTTTATCAGCCAGAGCTAGCTGGAAAATGTGACTGAAATTTGCAAATAATTTCAGGGTCTTCCTAGCATTACCATAAACATTTTTAGTCCCTGCGTATTTTATTAAGCTCTACCCACCTCTTCTTCAGTCACACACCAGATTTCCATCTTTTTTCCTCCCCTGCCTTTTTGTTTATTTTAACACTCCCCAAAGGAACAAAAAGGGTTTATCACACTCAGCTATTTCTTCCCAGCTGTGCTGTGGGGAGTCTTTTATTCTCCTGATAGCGTCATTGTTCCCCTGGTGCTGCTCTCCCACCTGCTGGGACTGGATCTGCAGTAGGTGACTGACTCCTCCTCAGAGCCAAAGCCAAGTTCTGAGTCAAGTTGCAGAGCAGTGTAGCTTGTCATTTCCATGTACCCATCTCTAACACTCAGAGGAATGCAGCCTCCTACATAGAGCCTGGGAATTGTTAACACATTTCCTGAAGCTTTACAACTGTGAATCATTGCTCACTCAAAGTAACTCTTCCAAGCTGCAAACTCATCTGGTGTACATGCCCCCTCCCCAGCTCCCACTGAAATAAAAGACACTATGCTTTCATTTAAATATTTGAAACTTTGATCTTTTTGATACTTCTGAAGGTCTCTCAGCAGTGTCTTCTCAGATGCATTTGTCTCATACTGTTCAGTGGGGAATTGGATCCTCACATGTAACATTCAGGGCTTGCAGCGTGGTCTACAAAACTGGATGCTTTCAGGTATCCTGTGGTGTCTGCAGCTCCTATATTTGAGCAGCTCTCCATTTTGTTCTTCAGTCATAGCCCCTCTGAATAGAAGAGGAACTCTGCTGCCCCATTTGCCATGAAACCTGAAGATTGCTATCCACAATCTGGAGGGCGTCCAAAGACTCCTTTACAAACCTCATACACTCTCCATGTAGACTATGAGCATAGGAAGGTTTCCATGTCCCAGACATGGCTTGGGAAGACACAACCCCCAAAACATGGGGTTAGCATAGTATTAAGAGCTGGTCATGAAGACTGTAGATAATCAATGCTGTTCTTGAGAGGTGCACAGACATCACACTGCAATGATGGCTTTGATGCTGGGACACAAAGGGAGCACTGCTGCTCCACATCCTTTGCTTTACAGGGAAATCTATAATACCATGGGCCAAAAGAAGCATCTTTCATCAGATTTGCCAAGCATCTCCCAAAGGTATAGGTAATGCAAAGTGCCACACTGCTATGACAACATAGCCAGATGAGAAGTGACACTGAAGCTGTCAGTTGCTTGGGGTCTCCAGAGGTTCTGAACTGGTTCCAACACCAGTAAACAGCTTGGTTCCCTTTCTGCTTCAGGTGGATAAAACTCTCCTTCCTTCCTACCCTACTAAACTCTTCTACAATATGGTTGTACAAGGCAGAAAATCTCCCCTTCCTCACCCCACCAGCAGCAGCAGAAGTGCACAGAGTGAAGTACCACATACAGTCAATCTGGCTGGTAACACTCAAGAAAACTGTGGCATCCCATCAATAAAAATACAAGATATTGTTGTCTGTGCATGCTCCAAAACAAATAACATCTTAAAATATGAGTCATTGTTAAAGCTGATCTGTTTATTTACACTAATGCCTTAGCTGAGCAGCTCTCTGTTTAGAAACTTTTATTCAATTCCTTCTGGGAAACAAACTGAAAAGATGCTGAGTATCAGGCAATTTAAGTTAAATGCTAATGAAGCCATGGAAGCCCTGTTTTACTAACTACAGGCTGTTCAGACTTTTAGAGAATTAAATAATTTGTCTGGGTTCTGGTAGGTCCTAGGACAAGGATGGATATCCCTGGGCTGGAATGTTTACAATTTCTCTGTAGTGTTGCACCACCCATTACCTTGGGCTGTTGCAGCCTGAGAGCCTGCATATTTTCTTTTTGTCTTGTACAGGAATATCTTCTGCAGCATTGCTCCTGTGGAGCTGTCAGTATCTTCCTTAACTCATATCAAGACATGAAAACAAGTTTTGCTGGGAGGAGCAGACCTCACAGCCTCTTGGTTCAGACGGGAAACCCTTCTGATCTTTCCATCATCCCAGAAATAGGAGCAAACACTGAGAAGCTGAGCAACTGCAATGGTGAGTTCAATTACCTCTAACCCGCCCTCCTGTTTGCCACCACTTGGTCAAACAAGCTGAACAGCCACTTTCTTTTCCCTAGGAAAGACAGTTGGGAATAGAGCAAGGTTTTAGTAGAACTAAACCCTATCTGAAATCCAAGAGAAGCCATTTAAAATGCTCTGTTTATACCTAGGATTTTAATACTGGCTGCTTCATGTGTGTGAATCAGGGGGGTTTTGCTTTGCAGCTGTGGCTGCATCCCTGAATGAGACCATTAGTGGACGCTCCCTCCACCCAGCCAAGGTGGATTTGATCTAAGATGGAAAGCCTTATGCCTCTTGTTAGTCTTCTACCCTCTCAAGAAGGCACAGAACACATTCCTTATTCTATAGACCAAGTGGAAATAAGCACCAGCTGTAAAGCTTAGATCCAGAGACCAACTTTTCCAGAAGGCTGAGAAACACTGGGCTCAGCCTAATGATATAAAACCAGATGAAAAGTTTGTTAGATATGAACCAGCTCACTAAATGTGGTTGATCAGTTTATTTAAAACCTTGGATTTCAGCTTGTTTCTAATACCTGCTGAAACACAGAACAACTTCGTTGCAGGATTGAGTCAGGGCCTTTGGGATCACATGGAGTCTTATCCTGTCTTTAAGTCCTTAGGGTTCTCATCACATCTGCAGGCATAATTTGCTGCCAGCACTGCACAGAGGCCACCCTAGCAGGACACTGCTAAGAAGTAAGTCCTTGCATTTCATTGCAGGAAGTGAGAGACACTTGGAATCAGGAAAGAGCCAGCTGATGGTGGGGCTCAGGAAGTCATCAAACAATAGGAACAACAAGGAGAATGAGTTCAGAGAAGCTGGGAGTATGGCTGAGGGACAGGCTTTTCTGTCAAAGGACCCTGCAGTAAGAAAGGTGAGTGAGAAACTTGGGACCTGTGGGAGAAGAAGAGAGAAGTTCTGCCCAGGCAGATCAGAGTGAGGTGCCAGGAGAGCAAGGCAACCTTGTCTGCTACCAAGTGGAGCGGGGCCAGTAAGGGTTAGGGGGGGTCTGTGTCTCTCTGCTCCCAGCCTTAAGTGAAGAAGGACTATGTCTTTATGCCAAGAAAGGCACAAATGGTTCAGTGGTGCAGGAGAGAGGAGCACTGCAGACAGCAGCATGGGGTTTAGTCCTCACCAACTCCCAATAACTTACTTATGATAGAGTCCACACAGTATCTCCACTACTCGTGCTAGTAGGATTAAACCAAGCATTCATTACTACTAATAAAAATTTTAGCAGATCAATCCTTAGCTGGCCACAGTTATTACCCGACTGGCAGCATATAAATGTAATTAGCTCCACTCCTCAAAGCATGTTCCAGGGAATGTGTTTCAGCAAATCTGTGTCACTGAAGTCCAAGGGAGCAAGGACAAATGCTTTCCTCTCCCTTTCTTTCCCATTGTTTGTGTCTGCCTCAGCACTTTCATGTTCCGGTGGGGTTCAGAAGTGCTGAAATGCCAGAGCAGAGACTCTAATCAGAGTATTCCCAGCCCTTCAAACAGGAAAGAGGAAGGAGTAGGTCTCTCACGGGAAAGACCTCATGAAATTTCCACCCTTAAGTTGCAAATAGGTCACAAACACTTCAATGAACTTCAGAACCCAATTTAAGGCTGAGACCTGAAAGGTGCTCTATGCTCTGCCTTGGGTCCAGCCAGCTTCGAGATACTTTAAGCATGTGGGAAGTTCTGGTGACTTCACAGGACTGTAGAACCAAGATCCACACTCTTTAAACTGAATCCTCATTGTCTTGTTACATCACATCTTAGTATTGTCACTTATTATTGGATATTGTACCCTGAACATGAAATACCCCATTTATTCCTACAGTGCAGGCACAGTATGGCAATTCTGTCTGTTACACTCCTCCCCAGGCTACCAGGTACTATACACATGAACTGGCAGTTTAAAAGAGAGGTGAGAGGTGGAAGGAGAAAGAAGAGATTATCACATATGTGAGGGACTGAGTCTAAAAAGAGATAAAGGACCCGACCAAGGCTATGGGTGCATTCCAGGGCAGAGCTGAGAACAGAGCCTAGTCTGTTGCAAACGCTGGGAGATGGTTTCCCTGTCTTGTTATTTATCAGTGTATTTGCCTTTTGTTTTCAGGCTCTGGACGTCAGCAAGAACATCTCGGTATGTACTGCCTTTACAGAATATATTTAACTTGTGTCTGCATTATCAGAGAGTAAGCCCACGTAGTGCACATCACTGTATGAACAAAAGAGGTTTACTCACCCCCGAAGTTTACCCTCATGGACCACAGGAGCATCAGCTGCTCAGGCTTTCTGCGGTATCAGCAGTGCTTGCTCGTCTGAGACAACACCAGCACAACGAGGGACTAACTGCTGAGGCCTCAAAATCCTTCCACAGCACACATTAATCCTAGCAGTAAACACAGAGGTTTGCTGTTTCCATGAGCAAACAGTCCTGCTTACAGGCAGTTACCTCAATAGCACTGAATCAGGCGTTGCAGTTCTCAGCTGAGCCATGACCTCATCTGAAGTTTTGAAGGGAAAACTTTGCAGATTCCCAGGAAGAGCTATTGCAATAGGCACTGCTGGGGCTGGTAAGTGTGGCTGGGCAGCTGCCAGGCTGTGCTCTCAGGGTGGCCACAGCCCCTGTGGTTATGGCTCTGCTGGTGGCACAGCAGCACCAGCACACTGGAGGAGGAACCTCGGGACAGGGCAGAACAAGGTCAGGAACGTGACAATGGTTTGAGAAATTCACTTAAATGGGAATAATTTCTCTCCATTATGCTACTTCTGGGATATCATAATTTTTGTTCTGTTCCCCAGGTTTTCCAGTCATCACTTTAAGAAATTTAAAACAGTATAAAAAAAAAAAAATCCCCATTAAATTTTTTGATTCATAGCTCCATTTAGTTCACGGGTCCAGATGAGCCTGGCCTGGAGAGAACAAAGATTAGAGATGGCCTCCTGAGACTCCCTGACCTGATAATCTCTATTAGCATTTCAAATGTAAGGGCCCAATAGATATGCCTTGCTGACGTGACAGGGAAACAAAGGCTTGATCTCTTCTAATTCATGGTCCACAAAAGCTACCACCTTAAAAAAAAGCTGATACCAATGCACCTGGCCTAATAGAAAGGATAAGAGTGTCAAACTGCTGTTTTGGGTTTTGTTGTAAAGGCCCCCTGCGTGCATGTGAGTAGGTAGGAAACCAAACTGATCTTCTCCTTTAGCCAGCATAACAATGGGGTAAAACGTGCCCTTAGGCAGCTACTCAGCATTCAGCAGTGAGGCACCCTCACTCTCTGAAATCCTTGCTCAGAAAGAACACCAGAGTCCTTGGCAGAGAAATGTTATCAAACAAAATACAAAAAAAAAAAGTATTATTCAGAGTTCATCAGTCCTGTCTCCTTGTGCCCTGTATAGGTACAGGCTGGCCACTGGGCATCACTGCAGTGTTAAAAGTTATTTTGTGGGCCCTGACCCCTATCTGTCTGAAACAGAGAAACTTGTCTCTTCCCACTGCCCTGGAGTACCCCAAAGTATCTTATGTTGACCACATTAAGTCTGCCAGCAACTTGCCTCTGGTCCTTTAAGTTGTGTTTTCCTTTTGCTCCCTAGGGTGAGGGCCATGCTTGGAAGAGAATGAGAGATCTTATGAGGAGGACACGATTGACAAACCAGAACAAGCTGGGGCTGTCCTCTGCTGCTCTGAAGAGGTCCTGCCCACAGTTGTATAGGTGAGAGAAAGCTGTGGGAGATGTTCACTTAGTGTTGGGTGGAGGTGGTGGAAGGTTTATCTCTGGTTGTTGCTGCCTGGAGAAGACCACTCCTTACCTTATTTCTGTTGCATAGGCTGGTCCTGACTAGCAGTAGCATTTGCTTCCTTAAGTGCCCAGATGCTCTAGGATCCCAACTGGATGTTACCTGTGTGAGAATCATGGAAATATTAGGATCCCTAAAATCATGTCCTTCTCCCCAGCAGGACAAGGGGATGATAACAATTAGCCAGAGCCATTCTGTGGCCTAATTATTTGTTTTTCTTCTCCCTCCTAAGCATTGCAGTCTGCATTAATGTTCTCTTTTGTCCACTTTCCCACCTTTCATGCAGTGGGACAGACCATATTGTACCTGATGTGTGTTGGGATGGGACAGTCAGGATCAGCTAGATGGTTTTTGTCAGAGGAAGAAGAGATGAAGTTTGCTGAATGTGTGCTAATGGGTGGGACCTGTTTGTTGCTGGAGATGAATATTTGGGTCAAATATGAGGTCTTATTTATATTAAGTGATCCATGCTGCTCCTTTGGGCAACTTGGTCTACTTTGGTTGTAGCCTGGCCTCTGAGCTAAACTGTTGTGCATGTCCATCTGACAGTTCTGCCAGCTACCCCTTGCACAGATATTCCCTGTGCACTTGCCAAGTCCTCCCAGCTGGTCTGGTGAATTTGGAGTGTTTGTGTACGTAATCAGGTAACAGGAAGAGCCTGGGTATCTTAGTCACCAAAGCAGGAGCAGTACATGGAGCTGTGCACCTCCCTGTATGTTTTTTCAGCTGAGGTCTCAGTAACCTTCAGCGGAACAGCTCAAATGTGCTTAAGCCTTCCTCTGGTTTTAGAGGGGGTGATGGTGGGGAAACAGCAGTTGTTTAAGCACTCAGGAATGTCCTATTGTTCCCCTTAAGACAGCCCCTTAAGACCTACCTTACAAAATGCATAAGGGAACTGGGAGTCTTATAATTACAGCTGAAAAAAAACCCTCTATAATACATGGAGTGATTTTTCCAGCTGGGAAAAGGTTGGTTGGGGTCCAAGCACACATAACAGGAGAGCTTCCTCCTATTGTTTGGGAAACTGAAAGAAACACAAAGCAGAGAGAGATCAAACAGTTCCATCTAAAATAGATGGTGAACCAGCTGGGGGAAAAACACAAACTCCTGTGAGCCTTCCCTCTAAGCCTGAATAGAACCAGCACTTTTATTTGGGTTTCAGAAATGTTCTGTCTCCCTAACTTGCTGCTTGCCCCATCTCCATAGTACAGAGGGCAGCGCCAGCACTCCCTGCATGAGAATTGAAGGCTAGGTCTTCAGCTGCCTAAATTAAGGTATTTCCAACGAAGGGTTAGCCCAATAACTCCTAGCAGAAATTCTAGCTCCCTAGAAATTAGTCTCCTAGAATGGAGAACTACTGCTATCACGGAAATGCTGTACAATGAGATGCCAAACAGACAGTTTTTTGGCCAGCTGTATCCTGGCTGCATCTTCAGAGCTCTTGTACACTGATTTTTGCAGGCTGTTTTCAATAGCTGATGAATGCCCTTTTCTTCTACTAACTTTCTCCTCCCGTGTATCTACATAAAACCCTTACCTCTACTCATGCCCCTTGTCTCCCTCCATTTCCTTTTCTCCTTCATTCTAGCCCTTATTCTCCAGCCCTATCTGTACTTGGTCTTGCTGTTTTTACCCCAAACCCAGAAACAGCAGTGTACTAACTCTGTCCTTTTCACTGGTGTGTGGAAAAGTTGGGCACCTTGTTCAGTGGCAGTTTGGATATGCAGTTGCCCTCAGGTTCCTATGAAGTAAAAAGTTCGGTTTAGTGCATCAATGACAGACCAGCAAATGCTGCTGGACAGTAAGACAGACCCTTCCTGCAGCAATACCAGAATGGTAAAGCAATAAAGTCTCACTCATCTGCAGCTCTTGGCAAAGAAAACATTGAAACCCTGATACTCTCAGCATTTAAAGCCACTGGCTTTGTTATAATTTATGAAACATGTTTGTCCTGGCTCCTGGTCCTGTTTGTACATGCAGACATATGGAGTTGGCTGACTTTTGCTTACCCGGGCTTTCCTGGGCTCCAGGTCTGGCACTGGAACAGGCTGGAGCCTGGTGCCCTGTATTAACATACAGCTCTGAAGGAGTCAGAGATTTGTTGCTTTTGACACCCAGTCCCACTTGAGTCATTCAGGCAATTAGAGAAAGTCTCTTTGTTTTTGTAACTAGGTCAAAGCAAATCCCCTTTCATGCTCCTACTCTGTGTATGATGAATGATCTGCTCCAGGGTGGTTGTTTCCCTTTTCTGTCTTTTTTTTTTTTTTTTTTTTTTAACATCCACAAAAGAATTCTCATAGCAGAGAGAAATTGGTTCTTCTAGCAGGAGAGAGGGGAGGCCTGCCAAGGTAAACATACTGGCACCAGACTCAGTGTTTTGTCATACATTGTTCTAAACAGGCTCAGGTTTTCATTTCGTTTTCTTTTTCCTCTTAATACATTTGCTCCTGCAAAGCAACATCTATTCTGTGCAAAGGACCAGAACAGATGGATGACTGACTTCATGATGGTGTTGTGAACTTAAGCAGCACATGGTCCTCCACTTTTCAGGGCAGAATCTAATGTAGGAAGCTTTGGGCAATCCCTCCTGTCATTCCAGTGCAGATACACCCACCTGGGTATCTATGGGAGCTGTAGATTTAATGCAGATGCATGAGCTAACCTCAAATACAGTGGTAAAGATGATAGTTTCAGTTTGAAGCCACCAAAAGCTTGCTGCTGTATGATGCCCACTTTGTGGTTAGTGTGAAGTAAGCTACCAAGGACAGTGCAGTTCTAACATTACAAAACCCCATATTCAATATTGTGTAGTAAAGGTTGAAAAGGGCCCCAAAACCTCAGACTCAGATCTGAATGATGCTCTTCACATGGAGTAATAATACTAAAGTATTTTCAACCCTGTGCTCAGGGTTGAGAAACCACCAAATAATTGAAGAACATCAAGGCAGAAGATTGACTAGTCTATTGTAAAAGAACAAAGAGCAGAACAGAACATAAAAATGTACAACATTTAAGAAAAAAACCAATATAGTAGTTCACAAAATAAAGAGTATGCACCACATTATTCAAGACTTTGAGTTGAAAAATTTTCAAAGTGAAGGTTTGAAGTAAATAGCTATTAGCTATTTATTTTTCTGTAAACAACTTTCAAATATTGCTTTAAAAAACCTAAAAAACAAATGATAGCTTTTTTTTCTTAAACAGAACGTATTTTAAAGATGTGTCTAGAAAATGTTTCAAAAGGCTTGTCTCTCATAAGCCCTGGAGGCCTGAGCCAACTGAGTAATTTCAACCTAACAGGATGTATTATACTCATTTCAATAATATGTAATAAATAATAAACAAAAAATTAAGCTGGAGACAGTCCACAGCAGCTAGTTTAGTTTGCTTTTCTAAACACTTCATTTCCTACTTACTATTTTAGACCAGAAATTTTAACTTCCCTGTAATATTCAGCCATAAATCTACCCCTATCATCCAGCTGGGCAGAAAATACTGGTTGCTCTGAACGAAATTATGTTTGTGTCCCAATGTGGCTCCCTGCCAAATGCTGCATCTTGTGGCTTCCTTTTTGGTTGCTGCCACAAATATTTGGACAGCATCTGCTATGGAATTTCAGACTGGAGAGGGGGAAGCTGCCCTGGGTATAGCTTAGATATATATGCACAGCATATTAATGTTAAGAACACACCAATGCCTTGTGGCCACTGTCAACTTCAGTTATATTTTTCTATTTGTTAAGGCCAGATATTATGTCTTCAGAACTGAGGAAGACTGAGAGAAACTCTATGATTGTTCTGGGACAAAATACGAAGAACGAAAACTTATGGCCTTTCTGATAACCTGAGTCAAATGGAGCAAGGTAAAATAAGTAAAGCAGCATGTGTTTCTTTGTGGGTTGGGGTTTTTCACCTCTTCTCAGCACGAAAATGAGGCAGTCCTGTTCCTTCACCCAGACACACCCCAGCTTACAATGACAGAAAACAGGTCTAATCTTTGAAGTTCAGATGATGTGGATTGATGCCTACTGAGGACTAGCCCATATATCTTCATTTTAATAGTCCCCCTGCTTTTGGTTTGTTGTATTTTTTTAGCCCACAATTTAAAGGCAACTGTAGTCATACAGGCTACATCACACAGCCTTTTTACAAAACATAAAAGGCACTAAAATTAATTTATCTGCAGTCAATCAAAAGACTTCCAAATAATAAGCCAGCAATAGGTCTTGGGAAAGAGACATTCTGTCCATAATAAAGACTAAAAGAAAAACCAGCCTCAGCTTCATCTTCCACCTTGCCAAGTCAGCCCATAGACTAAATACAGAGAAACTCTCTCTAATCTCACATTCACTGCATGTTTCTGTTTCAGAAAGTCAAGGCAAGAACACCAAAGGACAAAAAAATCAAGAACCGTGGGGTTACTCTGTGCAATCTACATCCTACAATTGTCAACAGAGCAACTCTGAATTGAGTGTTGGAAGGGACAGAAGGAAGGGGGATGTTGAGAAGGGTCTGTGGGCAAATACACGCTCAGCTATGTATGGCTTTGCTCCCAAATCTGAAGTGTACTTTAAAAAGTCAAGCTACAGATGAAAATTGCTGTTAGCTTCTTGCAACACAAACAACAGGGACTTCTAAGATTTGGAAAATCTTCTTCTCTGGGTTGGGAACAGAATTACCTGAAACACTGAAGCTTTTAAACTATCATTACTTTCTGGGGACTTTTCCAGCTGAAATAAACATTAGCTTTGTAGGACATAGCATCATCTAGAGGAGTGCCAGAGACTCATTGCCCAGGGCAGAGGTGGCTGTTGCAAGGACAGCCTCCTCCCTCTGGGGAACCTGAGTTGCAGTCTCTGTCTCCAGCACAGTTCCTCCCTTCAAAGCATCCTATGGCCAGCTGTGCCATTTCACTGGAATCCAACAGGAAAACAAAGTATGTAAAGCTAAGGTCATTCCTGAATCCACTACTGTCTTCCCATCCTGTGGGCCTGCTCCTTCTGCAGAGGTCGCTGGACTCTGGTGCTACCCTGCACAGAAGCTGGCATTGTACACACTCACTGTAAAGACCAGAGTATGCAGCACTGCAGGAATCAGCCTTTCACAGACTGGAGTGGGCATCCAGGACAGCCTCTGCCCCAAGCCCAGCCATTCTGTAATCAATCTTTTTTTTTTTTATTGAAAAGGCACCAGGCTTCAGTTCTAAGTTCCATTGAAGTGCTCTGTCTGTGCAGGTAGGGCAGTCTTGCTGCTGTATGGCTGTGTCCACACACTCTACTGGGAAACGGTGAGGAGAACCAGGCTTCAGGGAAAAGTAACTCAAATACATCCTTTATAAACTGGTGCTCTTTTGGGATACACTAACAGCTGTGTAAGGCTATGACTGTGTGTGGTGGCTGCCTTATTGCCACGTGTCCACTGCTTCCTGACTTGAGGAGCAGGCAGTGCATGCTTCTGAATGTCCCATGGTTGCAGAGGTGTCTGCACACTAGCTCTTACTGGTACTAGCAAAATAATTAATATACATGAAGTGAAGACTTAAGTAAACTGACATTGCCTCTTGATATAGAGGATTGTTCTAACCCATAAATTATAATAAAATTACAAGGAAAGCAATTGCTGTTTAAAAATCCCTCCCCACCCCCAACTTGCCTGAGAACCGAGATTTGACAAGCTGGCAGGAATGATCAGCTTCAGGAGGCTTAGTCTTTCAGCAACAGATGCTTTCCCGTGCTCATCCACATCAGCTGGAGCTGTTGGAGTCCTCCAAACCAGAGTAGGATCTTTTCTGGGATTCGGAGATCTCAGCCATGCCATTCCAGAGCCAGTATAGTTTGCAGGGATGAGTGAGGGCAGGGTTCAAATACTCAGAAGGATTGCTACTATTGTTACTTAGCATCTCAAAAATCCCCACAAATAATGACCAAACCCCACAACCCAAACCCCCATTAAAAAAAAAAAAAAAAGGAAAAAAAAAAAAAGGCTGTGCTGACTCAAGGTTAGCACCCTAAAGTAGGTGCTGTGTTTAATGTTTCATTTGTAGCTGCTGCTGCAGGACTTGGTTATTCACTGTATACCTTGCTAGCTTCATGCAAAGCTAGAAAGATTTATTATTTGATTATTCTGTGAATATTCTGTATATCTCCGTAAATACAGGGGATAAAAATCCTGCATTACTTATATCCTCCATTATCCCTCCAGGTTTTTTTTTACAGAGACTGTACAGAATGTGAATCAGTGTAAACTGAATTTAAAGTGTTTTAAGACACAGCATCATGAACTAGTATTTTCTACAGCCCTCTATTCATGGTATAAGTTTGTTGGGTGTTTTGTATTTGTTTGGTTTTTAACTAAGATAAACTAGCACTCTTCTCTATTATAGCATTATATTAAATATATTCATGTATTTTCAGAAATAAATGTATTTATAATGTGTAACATACTGTATAGTTCTCCACTCCAGGATCCATTGTAATCCGAGCATAATAAATTTAATAAAAGTATCATTATTATGATAATTGTTTTCAGATATTTTATTAATGAACACCTGGCTTGTAGTATAGCAACTACCCCACCTTTAGGGTGTCAGGTGAGCATAGCTAGTCAAGAAAGGAATTGTTACCTCCAAGCTTTTAAAGAACTTCTTCAGCTTTGTCAAAGCAAGTTTGCTCTTTGGAAACAGGTGCTGTTCTCAAAGATCTAGAGGGTGAGGAGAGCCTTTTGAAAGTTCAGGTATGACAGAACATGTTAATTTTGAGCTGCCTTGTATTAGGTGCTGTTGCTGGTCTTTGCTTCCACAGACAGGCAGCACATGCAGCACTTGAAAGAAAAATCACTGAGGGCACTGGGACAAAGTGTGCTGATGCTCAGCACTGGAGTTTCTTTCTGAAAATCTGGATTCAGTAGCAGCACTACACAACAGCCTCAAATGAGAGATTTTAGCTGCTCTTCTTCAGCCTTGATTCCCAGCCAGCAGCACCCTGCTGGACAGAGGGGCTTCCTTTCCCCTGCAGGTGTCTAAGGACAGTGTACAGCACCCCCCAGCAGCTTTAACTGAACTCTATAACCAGGTGAGACAGAGTGAAGGTAAACAGGGTGCACACAAGAATTCACACAGGTATTAAAAAGAAAATAATGGTAAAGAGTCAATGAGACTCAACTAAAGAGAGGCCTAGAAAAAAAGTAAGCCAGAAGTGCATCTGTGAAGGTAGAAGGGAAAGAATACACTCTTTGCAGAAGCAAATATTGCATAACAGGAACCATGAGAGCCATTAACACCCCAGTGGTGTTAGAGAACAGGCAGTGAGCACAGAGGAGGAAACCTCCAGGCTGCCTTTCACTCTTCACAAGAATAACTCATCTCACTGCTGCTCACAGCCTTCCTGCCAGCTGAGGCCCAAGTAGCAAGCCTTAAACAAAGAAAGCTCCCCAGAGTGGATAAGGGAATGAAGTTTACTTCTTTTCTCACCCACCTCCATTTAGCACTGCATGTACCCTGCACTATGCATCATACCAGCCTCCTACACACAGCATAGCACCAAGAGGGACAGTCCCTGCAGGGGAATACATGCAATTCCCATAGGATACCCACCCAGAGCTCCTTGCCACTTGGGATGGTTCAGTAACCCAATAAAGGCAGCAGGGACTTGACTCTCACAGCCCCTTCAGCATCCACAGTCACCCAAGCTCTCTAAGCCAATATTTCTGTCTCCCTTACTGAGGCATAGCAAGGCTCCAGTAGCAGACAGGAGGTGTTTAGATCTTGGCTTACACACACACAATTAAGACCAGTGCCAGAGCACCCTGCCTGGTGCATGGAGAAGGTGTGCTTTTTATTACTCCTCTAATTGCCCAGTTAATTAACGTTACAGACTGCTCCTAAGACTTGTCACAAGGCACATTGAGTTTACACCCAGCTTTCCCAGACAGAGCTCCACCTGTACCAAGGTCATTTAGTTACCAGAGGCCTGCTCCAAAGGAGGAGACCGTTTGACCTATCTTCAGATGATGTCTTTTTCCAGCCTATGATGTCTTTCTCCCTCCCACCATGCAACTTGGAACTTTTCTTCTGCTTAGATTTTTGATAGCATGCAAGATGAAGATGACTGGTTATACTGACAGTAGCAGGGAAAGGCGTTTCTATTAGAAGAATAAAAATATAAGATTACTCCTGAAATTTCTTGGAAGAGGAAAGGATCTAATACCATTTGTTAACATCCTCCAATCACACAGTATCAGCAGAACCTAATTAAAAAGAACATCTGCTGCCTCAAGCAAGCTACTCATCAGTTCTTCACTTCCATGTGCAAGTGCTACTCCTCCCTTTTAAAGGCCCCAAAGCAATACAATTAAGACTTCTCTCCTGCCCTTAACAGGAAGGATTTCTAATCAAGCCTCAGAAGAAAAAAAGAAAAAAGCATTTTTCCTTCCCCTCAAGGACTTCCCCATCAGCTCTAGGCAGATCTCAGTGTAAGTGCAAGCACCAGAGCTCCCCCAGGCTGGGCAGGAAGGAGGGGCTGGAGCCTCACTTCCCCTCTACAGCCTGCAGAGTTTTGCTGTACTGTTTTCACCCAGGACCTCAGAAAGCAAAGAGGGGTGCTGCCCAGCTGCTGGAGCTGACAACACCACCCTGAACTGCTCCTGATGAGAAATAAAACTTGCCATTTTGAGCATTTAAAAGAAGTAAGTTTAAAAATTAAGAAAAGCACTTTTATGCCAACAGTGATGTCAAATTAGCTTTAATCCAAGACCTTTGAAGACTCCTACCTGCTGTCACATGAAGGCTTAAGATTAAGCTCTAAGTAAAGTTTGATTTTTCCCCTGAAGCTCAAACCACCTAGAACTCTTTTTTTTTTTTCCAGTTGGAAAGATGTTTCCATGTTCTCATTCACCAGAAAAATGCCACCTTTTCTCTTTCTAGGGCAAGAAAGACAAGTTCATGCACAGCATTATTAGGAAGGCCCATTTGTGTAGTGCTTTGGCATCCTTGCTTTCCAGTCCTGCCACATGAGCACCACCCTAATTTACCCAGTGACTTAGGGACAAGTGGGCAATTCCCAGCTCCTCGGGGAGGCCAAAATACCTGCTCTGCATCCCCACAGATGCAGAATCTACTTTTAGTGAGTTTTGCTGCACTTCTGCTCAGTGTTTGAATGGAGCCTAGGTCACTACTTTTGAGAGCCACTATATTCATTAACAGAAATGCCAACACTACCCAGCATCAATCCTGCCTCAGTCTGCAGCCCAGCCCTTGGCAAGGTCTCCCGTTTGTCCAAGGCAGACGGACAACACCAAAACCAGAATAATTCCAGAGTGAGATGATTTTGGAAAGCTCTCATAGCCACTGGGGTAATTTTTGCCTTGCAAATAATTCTTACAGCTAGGGTCTCCAGGGGAAGGGGTACCACCAACCAAATGGGTTTGACAATCACTTTATTGCAATCCATTGATTTCACGTGTTGCTGACACCTTCCTTTGCCACAGCACAGAAGCCACAAGCACCACACACAGAGCTGTCCCAGTTGCCACAGCAGCAAATCCCAGAGCCCAGGGGGCTGCAGCATGCACAGCCGCTCCTGTGGGGAGAGACACCCCAGTTAACGCTCCCAGGGAGGCACAGGGACGCCTCAGGGGCTCATTCTGTAGAACAGCTTAGACCAGCCCCCTTTCCCTGCTCTGCTCCACACTTACCAAGGCTATCCTTGGCTGAATCCTGTCTTAGCTCCTCCTGGAGGAAAATCACAGGGCCTTTGCTGGACACATGGGAAGTACCTTCCTGAAAAGGATGCTCAGCACTTCTTTTAGCCCCTAGAGAGCAATGTGAAGGTTTAGGTAAGAAGAGGT